AACGCTCGACCAAGACTGACGTTCGTCGGCGGCTCGTGGGACGTCCGGCACGGTCGTGCTCGATCGACACGTGGAATGTTCTCTTCCCGCAGTGCATGCTGCCGCATTGCCAGACGATGAAGAAGGTGCTGAGGCACATGGCGAACTGCCAGGCCGGGAAGTCTTGCTGCGTCCCGCACTGCGCCTCGTCGCGGCAGATCATCTCGCACTGGAAGAACTGCCACGGCGCCGATTGCTCCGTCTGTCCCCCGCTCGAGACGGCGGACGGGCGGCCCAGGAAGACCCAAGGGCCGCCGACCGCGCCCCGAGACCCCAACCCGGAAGAGTGGAAACGGGCGTGCGAATCCCTCGGGATGCCTCACCTAGCCGCGATGGGCCGTCCCCTCCGATCGGAGGGGACGCGAGGGACTGTTCCCCGGTCGCCAGCTTCGTCTTTTCAGGTCTGCCTTTTCCACTTTTCCCGCCTCATCTCGCCAACTGCCAAACTGCCAACTGCTTGATTCCCCCTAGTCGACCAGGGAGACGGACGCGGCCGGGTCGGAGGAGCGGCCGCCGGTCGCTGCTGCGTCCGGTCGGGACGCGAAGGAGTGGCAGAAAAGCGTCACGCCCGAATGTAGGAACAACTTCATCAACGACCTGTGAGTTCAAAGAAGGAACAAAAGGTACAAGTATTAAATACCGATTTAAAAATAAATTCCTGGCTTACGAGGAACGCCAGCATTTTCACCAAACTTTAAATTATTTCTTACACAAATAAACAAAAAATTTAGCAGTTTTCCTTGGAATTTATATTTCCCGGGCCGACAGAAAAGTTCGATAATAATAATAATAAAATCGAAGAAATTTTTTCTAGCTTTTCCATTCAAATATCCTCCCTCGATTCGCTTCGAGGATTACCTAAGCCCAGGACTAGGTTCATCGGATCCCAGGATTACCCGGGGATTACCTAATCGGTGACTTGCGCTTTCCAGGGTGACCGAGACCTTCCCCGCGAACGACGCGACCGCGGCGTTCGACGAACGCGTGCAGGCCCTGGTCGCCTTCGCCCAGAAGGTGGAGAGAGACGTCTACGAGACGGCCAACTCCCGAGTCAGTTTTTTTTTTTTTAAGTCGTGTCATTTTTCTGCATGTTGCTCTTTTTTTTGCAAGGACTTTCACTGCTGAAATGTTCGCCGCAGTCGCGAGCGGATTCTTTAATTATTCATCGATGCAGCGTTGCGTGGGGGATCCCCGAAAATGTATTGCGACGACAGCGCATATATAATAACGCAACATTAATATACAAATTTTTAAAATAACAGCCTCGCATAATCGCAGCCTTCCTCTCTCTCTCCGTCCTCTCCAGCCGGAATATTACCACCTGCTGGCAGAGCGAACATACCAGATCCAGAAGGACCTGGGTGAGCCGCATTTCATCTCCCATGCATTCACTGCAGGGCAGACCTCATCGAATGGCATTCAATTTTAGAGGAGGCACAGAAGAATCAGGGAGGCATGGGTCAAGGACTTGCCGACTCCCTGGAGCGACAGCTGGCCCGGCACCAAGGACTTTCCCGACTGGCTCAGCAGCCGAGTCCGTCAGACCAGCAGCAAATTCTTTCTTCGGTGGGTCAATTCCAGCAGTCTCAGGCGGAACAGATGATGGGTGGCATGACGCCGCCTTCGATGAGGCCACCTTCCATGAGCCCGCCTTCGATGAGGCCACCTTCCATGAGCCCGCCTTCGATGAGGCCACCTTCCATGAGCCCGCCTTCGATGAGACCACCTTCGATGAGCCCAACTTCGATGACTCCACCTTCGGGTGAGATCCTGCTGAGACCGCCATCCACTGGGATGTCCATTTCACCTTGCCCTTCTTCAGGTTCCTGCCTATATCTGTGACGTCACTCCTCGCAGTGAGAGGATCCTTTGTTGGATGAATGCGATGGTCATTTTGGATGCAGGACTGAGGTTCAGCGGGATGCCGCACGAGGCGTCCGGAGGAGTCCCACAACCTCAGGAGCGACAGTGGACAGGGGCCCCGGCGTCGATCTCGCGGCCGCAGGGATCGCTAACGCGGCCGGGTCTCCCGCGGCGGCAGTCGCAACGGCCGCGGGTGTTTGCGAGCGATGCCGATTTCGCGAAGGAAATCGGTTCGACCGACTCGGCGGAGGGCACGGTGGTCCCAACCGCGCAAACGCCTTCGGCCGACACGGCTTTTGACTTTGGCAGCGTACCTGCCTGCAGTGGAGACGAAATTGGAATCAGCAGTTATGCTGCCGCATTCTTCTTCCCCACTTCTATGTACAGGACATCCACACCCAGCGACAGTTTTCGCCAACAGTGGCAGCAGCAGAATGAGGTAAAGAGGCATTTGTGCCTGTTCTGGTTATTTCCCAATATCACAGCACTTTGGGATGCATTACAACAATCGATTTTCTCGTTGAACGTAGGTGCCACCTAGTTCCTCGCCTCACATATCAATCGCATCTAAAACGAGTGGGATGAGAGGAAGCGTCAGCTCCATGTCGGTGTCGGCAGGGAACGACAGAGAGGAACCCAAACACGAACTGATTTCTAGCAACAGGAAGGAAGAAGGAGGGATCCGGGTGAATGTGGAGCCTGTGGACGTGAAGAAGGAGACATCAGAGGGCGTGAAAGGGCTACCTTCTCCCAGTGCAGTGAAGATAGGGGGGATTTCGGATGTGGAGGTCCCTGCCTCCTGTTCTTCAACCACGTCCTCCGTTCCTCCCGATTCTTCATCATCCGATGCAAAGCCTCCAACCTCATCTAAACCCAACAAGATATGTGAGTGCCAGTACATGTCCTGCATTTCACGCTGAGGTTCATCTTTATTTGAAGTTGGCTTCAATTGGAATGCCTTTGCCATTGGATTAGAATAATTCCCATCTGGTCTTGGTTAGGGAATGAGAACCAGGATTCTAAATTTGATCAATTCTCCCTCTTTCACGCTGCTGCATGGCCGATTCAAGACGATGTGAATCCAACTAATCGCAGTTGAAACCATGAAAGAATTTGGTTCTAGTCCCAATTTCTCGGATCCTTTCTGTCCACGCGAGTCCTCTCTCATTCTCGATCTGTGGAAGAATCTCAACCATGCCGACATAATTATTTCCTTGGGGAGCTGCAAGGCCAGATCGTGGAACTTGATTCGATCAAGGGTCTCCCCCTTCCTGGTGATTCGTAGACTTTGGAAGCCATTCGCATCGTTCAATTGATCGTGGGAGAACGGAACCTTCTGTCGCCCAAATTCCTTGCAGTGGTGCAGGTTGCGTAAGTAGGGCCGAGAAATAGTCCATGAAAAAAAAAGATGGAAAAATGTAAAACAGAGAACGGGGAGATTACAGATAAGGAAGTGTTATCTTCGTCGTGGAAAAAGGTCGACAGCTCTCTTTGTCTTTGGATTCTACGTGCTCAATATTCAGCAGGCCCCTATCCAACTCGGGCAATCTATCTCTTATATACAGTATGCAAATAGCTTGTTCCGGTTAAATCAGGTGGGAAATTTATTTACTTTTCATTCTCAGCATTCAACCCAGAGGAACTCCGCCAGGCGTTGATGCCCTCTCTGGTAAAGTTGTACAGGCAGGACCCAGAATCCATTCCGTTCCGCCAGCCTGTCGACCCGCAGGCTTTGGGCATCCCTGACTATTTTGACATCGTCAAGCAACCCATGGATCTCTCGACGATCAAAAGGAGGCTGGACACGGGTCAGTATGCCGATCCGTGGCAATATGTGGATGATGTCTGGCTCATGCTTGACAATGCCTGGCTCTACAACCGCAGGACCTCACGGGTCTTCAAGTATTGCACAAAGGTGGGCCGCCTCATTTCCCGAACGTTGCTTCGCTGGGCTTTCTCGCGATATCTCATGAATTTTGTGCTTTTTCCATGCAGCTCGCCGAAGTCTTCGAACAAGAAATTGACCCGGTGATGATAAGCTTGGGATATTGCTGCGGGCGCAAGCACGTGTTCAGCCCGCAATCGCTTACCTGCCATGGTCGGCGGCTGTGTACCATACCCAAGGGTGCCAAGTACTGGTGCTACCAGAACAGGTGAGTCGTGAGATGCAAGCAAAGAGCGATTTCAAGCATCTCAACGGCGCTTGGAATATGATTTTGCAAACTTGTACGCAACTTGCCTACTGAGCTGGAATGAGATGCAATGTTATTAGCAAGAGTTCTCTTATCTCACGCAATTGCCAATAGCATGTTTTGTTCTTATGTGACTTCAGAAGTGACTTGGCTACTTACGGACGAGTTTCCGTGAGTTTTTTTTGTTGCCATATTTGTGTCCTGATATGAATGTGAAGGGTACATGGCTAGGGTTCGCTAGGTTTTCTGCCCTGTATATGTCACATTAATCCTCTAAAGCCTTGGAAGTTCCTCTTTCCTGTAATCATGGAGGACGTTGCGATCATGAGTGCCGTAGGAGCCAACGCAAATGTTCGCCAATCCCATTCCTTACCTCCCACCTGGACTCTCTCAATCGCCTTTCAAATTCTTCCTATACTTCCAATTGGCTGTTCTAGACCGCCTGTATGTCTTGTGCGAATGAACACGTCCTTCCTTTTTCCAGCTCACCCACGAAAGGCTTCATTTGCGACAGATACAGCTTCTGCCGGAAGTGCTTCAAAGACATTCAGGGAAATTCGGTCACTTTGGGCGATGATCCTTCCCGACCAGAAATGTACGTAGGATGTATCTATACTCTAGAAAACTTTCGGCATAGATTTGGCATCAGTTTGTCTCGAATGTCTTTTCCACGTCGATGCGAACAGTGTGATTCGCAAGGACCAGTTCGTCGAGATGACGAACGATGCCTGGGATTCGGAGCCTTTCGCGGAATGCAACGAGTGCGGCAGGAAGCTCCACCAGATCTGCGTACTCCACTACGACATGCCGCAAGGGTTCACCTGTGATAATTGCCATAAAGCGAGGGGTACCAAACGGAAGGAGAATCGGTTCGGCTCCAAGCAGTTGCCGACCACCCGTCTCGGGACTTACATCGAAAACCGGGTCAACAACTACCTGAAGAAGGAGGAGGCAGGAGCCGGGGAAGTGACCATCCGGGTTGTTGCTAGCTCTGACAAGATTGTGGAAGTGAAGCCTGGCATGAGGCGAAAGTGAATACCCATTAATCCTAATCTCTAGACCATCTTTGATGTTATGTAATTATTGTGCGTATTGCTTCGCATCAGGTTCACCGAAACTGGGGAATTGTGCAGCGAATTCCCATATCGAGCCAAGGCCCTATTTGCATTCGAGGAAATCAATGGAGTGGATGTATGCTTCTTCGGCATGCACGTTCAGGAATATGGTTCTAATAGTCCCATGCCTAACACAAGACGTGTCTACATCGCTTGTATGGACTCCGTTCATTTCTTTCGGCCGAAGCAGTTCCGAACAGCTGTGTACCATGAGATCCTCCTTGGATATTTGGATTATGTCAAGCAGCTAGGGTAAATGTGGAAATCGTCTGTTGCACTATGCATTCCACAGGCGGTCATGTCATGCATATTCATTTCTTTTTGGTGCTCATGTTGTTCTCTTCCTAAAGATTCACAACGGCGCACATTCGGGCATGTCCCCCAAGGGAAGGTGATGATTACATCTTCCGCTGTCGCCCGCCAGAGCAGAAGATTCCAAGACCAAAGCGACTACAGGAATGGTGCAAGAACATGTTGGACAAGGGTATCACGGATCGCATTGTTCTTGACTATAAGGTGAGGCATTGATTCAATTTTATGGACTTGGATGTTTGAAATGTCAAGTTACCATCAGTACATATTACCATATCGTGCGGTATACTAAAGCAGGTCATGGATGAGGGCTTTCGGAGCGCATGCGAACTCCCCTACTTCGAAGGGGATTTCTGGCCCGACTTTCTGGAACAAAGCATAAGGGAGTTGGACGAAGAGGAGAAAGAAGAGCGGCTGAAGCAAGCGACTGCTGCAGCTGAGTGCATAGGAGTCAGGGAAGGGGTCGAGGGTAATGATATGATTGCTGCTGTGATTCTTGCTAATAGTTGCACAAAGAAAGGCCAGAAGAAGTGCGACAAGAGCAAGCAGTGCAAGATCAACCAGCGGAAGTGCACCAAGAACAGCGGGGCCGCGAACCAAAACGGCAACGATCTCAACTCAAAAATCCTCGCTGCAATCGAGAAGCACAAGGAGGAGTTCTTTGTGATCCGCCTCCACTCGGCGCAGTCAGCAGCCAGCTTGGAGAACTTGGTGGACCCGGATCCATTGCTCGACTGTGAGCTCATGGATGGCCGGGATGCATTCCTAACATTAGCCAGGGACAAGCGTCTCGAGTTCTCTTCCTTACGTAGGGCTAAATTCTCAACCACGATCATGCTTCATGAACTTCATAAGCAAGGCCACTACGTTGGGTACATATGTAGTCGTTGCCGGGCAAATGTGGGGAGTGGCTACCACTGTATTGAGGGCGAGGTGAGCGTAATCAAAATTGTCGTCTTTCCGGTGTATTCAGACTAAGAATCCGCTGATTTTATGGTGTTTCCTACCTCATGGTGCATTGCAGGCGCATGACTTGTATGCTTATCTTGTCTTGCAGAAAGACAATTTATGCGTGGCATGTTACGAGCAGCATCCTCAAAAGGTGGAGAAATTTGGTCCCCTCTCAGAGGAAGGACCTTCAGGAGAACGTACGCCTAGTACTCCCACCGATCAAATCCAGCGATGCATTCAGTCACTGGTGCATGCATGCCAGTGTCGGGATGCCAGCTGTCGCCTCCAGAGCTGCCTGAAGATGAAGCGAGCCCTGGCTCACTCCAGAGGGTGCAAGAAGAAGAGTAACAATGGTTGCCAGATCTGCAAGAAGCTGATCACTTTCTTCTGCTACCATGCCAAGAATTGTCAGGTCAGTGGTGAGATCTCGCCTCATCTTTATGACCCATCCTGAACATTAGATGACATGGTCCTATACCTGTTCAAACAACGGGGAGAGACATCAAGAGTCAATTTTGCCCATTAGCTCCATTCAAGAGCTCCAGTCGAACCCTAACGAAGATGACCTGATATCACTGATTAATGCGTCTCTTTGGGAATTCAACATCATGAGGCAAAAATCTTTCTTTGCATGTAGTCTGCTTTGCATTGTAATGCTCTGGCACGACAGAAAATATTGCTTCGACAATTTTGAAAGAAGACGGTAGTGTTGGATTTTAAAATGTTATAATTTCATCTCATGCATGTTGGGATGTGATGGGAAAAACTATTCTCCAATTATTTACGGCATTTGGGTCGTATAGTGTACGTAACAGCCAATATTTAATAGTAGATGCGTGTTGTTGGAGTCACGTTATTCATTGTCCCCTCTCCATGGCTTGGCCTCGTCCTATCGACGCCTTATTTATCTTGTTTCCACTCTCTGATTCTAATCCCCCACTTGAGATTATTTCACTCAATCCCCTGAACTCCCTGGTTTTTCTTATCAGTTCTGCATTATTCATTCTCCAGGAGATAGACTGTCGGATGTCATTCTGCAAAAATATCAAGCACAAGCTAGAGCAACAGCATGCAGCCGTACGGATCCAACAAGATACGCAGACAAGACAACACGTGGCAACCGAGGCCTGTGGCATATCTAGGAACTCCGCCAGTTCATCGAGTAAAGACGATTGTGCCCCCGATGCTATAACCGTGGCTGGAGGGCATACAGAAGCCTTGGAAATGGGTGAGACACCCTTAAGCACGCCCTCTCCCAGTCAGATGATGTCAGAACAACAACTGCAGTTTCAACCGTTTGGCGGTGGGACCAATACAGCTCATCAGCAGCAACAGCAACAACAGTCACCACCTAAGATGAATCCAATGATGAACCAACAGCTTGCCACCTCTCAACAGCAGTGGATGCAGCAACAAGAGCTCCTAGTCCTGAACAGACAGCAAGAACAGGTACAACAGCAGCAGCAACAGGACTTCCCATGGCACGACCCTCCCCAAGGCCGGCCTATGTCTCACACCTTCCAGCAAAAACAGCAGTTTCAACCGTTTGGTGGTGGGATCCATGCAGCTCAGCTGGTGAAACCGAGTCCCCCACCCCCTGCAATGAGCCCGCAACAGGTAGTAATGATGGGACCTCTAGCGCTCATGCAGGGGGTGAGGAGTCCTCCTCCTCCTGGTGCAACGTCAAATCTGCCTCACATGGTGAGGTCACCTCAGGCGAACTCCTCCCCAAGGACAAATGGGTCATCTACACCATCGCCTCACCACTCTTCCCACGATTCGGGACTTGAAGCTGAGATGATGCTGGCTTCACACGGTGGACCATCATCTGCGCCTCTATCAAACGCTGGGGACATGAGAGACTCTCTGGTGGGTGTGACGGGGCATGAATATGAAATGGCCCCCCTCACACCACAGGACCAGTTGCTCAAGTTTTTGGAGACATTATAGCAATGATGGGGGATGAATTCCCTACGCGTGATACTTAATCAATGTTGTTATTTATTGAATGATTCTTAGTTATTGTTGGTTACGGAAATTCCTTTTGCACGATGCATAAGAAAAAAATATATATGTTAGACTATCAGCCATGCACCTGAATATGAAAGCGGGAGGCCCGTCCGAGCCAATGATGATAAATCTATCTGGTCTGCATAAGTCAGCCACTTCTCCCACGATGATTGGCGTTCCACCTGGGGACCACCTGGGTTGTCGGTAACGATAGGGCAAGCGTCTCCTCGAGCCTTCGGATGTGGCAGGTCCCTGCGGCCCGATTGCCGCTTGGCTTTCCTGCCGCAGCCGTCGAAGACGCAATGGCTGAACTGAAGGGCTCTCACTCACGCGGTGCGCTCTCCTCGTATGAATGGGATCCACCCGTGCTTTCCACTTGCTCGTCCATCGAGACTGGCGTAGACGACGCCAAAGGAGGTAAACAGACGGGAGAGAAGCTGTTCACCCGCGAGTGACTGCCTTGGAAAACTCGGGGGCAATCTCGGGCAATATGGTCGAGGAGATGAAAGGTTCTTTTCATGCATTGTGCGAATTTCCTTGGGAGTTTGGGGAAATGTCGACCAATAAGCGAAGCGTGAATGCTTCACAATTTTTTCTGGCACTGAAGTGCATTTAAAATGCAACCCAGCGAATGCGCCGTGTATTGCTATTTACTTATTTGCTATTTATTTGCTATTTATTTCCGCATCACTCAGGGGTTGAAACTGACCCTGGATTTTGCAGAATTACGCTCAGTCGAAATCTGCGGCGGAATTCTCCCAAATTTATAAGCGTTTAGAAGACAAAATCAAATCAGTTTTGCTCGTGAATCGTAGAAATGCGTCTTAAACGTGGAATGTTAATGTGAGACGAGTATTAAAAAATAATTCGTGTCGGCATTCCAGTTCAGGAACGGTTCCAGTTCAACCTTCTGTGAGGCCTTCGGCGAACAAAACCCCGTGTAAAAAAAAAATTGGCCTTTCGCCACATCACGACATGGTGGGGAATTTTGCCTCAGGAAATGTTCGGCGAAAGCTTAGGCCTAAGATGAGCAGAGAATGAAAAGGATGGAGGGGAACCGGAGTAAGCCTAGACACTTGTAACAGCTAATAACCCGAATTCTAGAGACTGCGGGGCAGCTACGTGGCAAATGGAAAATCTGAACGTACGGATTGGGGGCCTATTTCCAGAAGAGCGCCGGTACAACCAGCAGCAGGAACGCTACGTCCCGACGACGTGAGCCAGCCTCCGAGACTTTCCTGTGGCCCAATCCCGTGCGTTAGCAGGATGCGACCAGGAAGCACGATGCTTCGGCCTGGACGTTCCATGCGACCCAATTGGGGGCAATCCAAGGCCTAGGCCTAACGTTAGGCCCACGTTCGACGACGACCGCAGGAACGGAAAGGGCCCACAATGTGCACGCTAGAAGCACGGGACACCGAGTGGGTCTGGCCACAGCGTAACTAGAGACTCTCACTCCGCTCGAATCCCATTCATTGACCGATTTTGTAATAGATGTCACTGCTGCCGATCCTCCACCTCTGGTTTCTGGATTGAATTCGTAACCCTCCCCCCCTTGTGGAGAAAGGGGAAAACACAAGGTTTGTGGACGATCTGCTAGATGTCAAGCCTTTTGCTCTACACGGTTGTCAGATCGTTGTTGATAATTCCGCTTTTGAGATGGCCACAAAAGAAAATACGCTCTTATTCTCTGGCAATAAAATGAAGTTAATAACAATCGTGAAAGGAAATTCTCCAGTCCTCGAATGTTCTTGGAAAATGGAATCCCATCTTCGAACATCACTGCTTGTTGTTGAACATCGTCTGCGCGAGGACAGCTGAAGCTTGCTGGCCCCTCAGCAGGAAGAGACTTCGTGAATCATAACTTCTTGCGGCAATTATTTTATTATCATAGCATTTCAGATTATTTACGGATAATTGTCATCCGAAACATTTGGATGGCCACATGCACCGTTTTCAGCCCATCACAGCAGAGAAAGAAAAAACACCAACGCAATTAAATAGTTCGATCTCACAGGAAATGGACCCAGCATTGCAGATTACAGTGCAAACGAGACAAAAACGTTGTCAATTGCGGTTGCGAGACTCTCGGTTTCGCCTATAGTGGCTACGGCTAGCCCCATTATTTCCCATTCTCTGTCCTTTGAAATACCTTACCTTCTTGCTCTCGTTTCACCGTTACTATTCCTCGCTATATTGGTTGACCCTTCTCTCTGCAGTCAGAAACCCGGATTTCATGGCAAAAATGGCAATTGAAGAGGAGATGCAATCCTTAGCATGCGACATTCTCAATTACTCATCAGGTCCCACACCAAATCCTTAAGGGAGAAATAATCCAACTCACCATACTTGTCATCCATATGGTCACGAGTTTTGCCAAATCTGAATCTAAGCGACCGCGCAGGGCTCCACTGATCAGGAATTAGACACCCACGGAGGATTCTCCTAATACTTCACCTTCCATCCAAAAGATGTCCTTCCTGTACCTGATGGAAGCGCACCTGATGCAAGGGGGGATACGAATTCAATCCGGAAACAGTGTAGCATGAGCGCATCGGCAACTTCTCCATGGCCGAGCAGCTGAATTAATGTGACATGCGCGTAACGCGCATGTCACATTAATTCAACTCACATAAAAACACAAAGGATCCCTCTGGGTCGAATCCCCGAACGAGTCGATTCCCGATTTCGCTGCCAGAAGCATGTCTCATGGAGGTGTTGTCGATAACAAGCTACCAGATGTCCCAGTGATATTTCGATCCCCCCCCCTCGGAGTGTCTGGCGCTGCACGTCTGCTTGTCTACGCGTTGCCAGTGTTGCCCGATACTGCATCTGCTGTGAGTGCATTGTCCGGGTCCACATTTGACGCAGTGCTGTCAGATATATGCACCGCATCTACTCGGAGCCCCGGAAAATCGACTCACCTCGAACTGACCGATTTTAAAAAGGTTTCTATAAGTGATTGCTTGAAAGCGGAATGAGCGGAATTCCCTTCTGCGAGGCTTTCCCGCTCAGAAATGAGAAAGAAAAAATTCTCCGGGATGGATTGAGCCGTCCTAATTTAATGTTAATAATTGAATATTAAGGTCGTAGGGTGACTCAAAATTAACTCAAAGGGTGGGGCAAAAGGGAGGGAGCATAGGGGAATTTTGGAGGAATTTCATTTTAAAAAACCGTAGTCTGCTTTTGCCTTAATCACCAGCTTCCATTCGTTCCTCGGTTAAATGTACAATCTTTACTCTCTTTTTTTTGCAGCAAATAGTCGAAAATCATTTCCAGATGAATTTCCTCAACTTATGGCGAAATTGGAGATCATTGGCAGGGGCAGCGAAGGGAATTAAGCCACGCACTGCCTTCAAGCCGGGCCTGGACCTGATTTTCCCCTTCATTAGACCCTCGACTTAATTGCTCGATTGGGCCTACGAAGGTGAAAATTCCCAGAGGGACGTGTGCTGCCATCTCTCGGTGACTTCGGAATTTACCTTCCGTGTTTTTCCGCCGTTGAGATTCCTTCGAGCTTTCGCTTCGAGAGGGATCGACAGTTTTCGAAAACGAAAAGGGAAATCCTTTCGCGAACCACGTCGATTGCTTGGTACTTCTCGGTACTAGGTACTAGTACTAGGTACTAGTACTAGGTACTTCTCGGTACTAGGTACTAGTACTAGGTACTTCTCGGTACA